GAAACAAAAAGAGGTGCTGACTTGGTATGTGGAAAAACTTATCCACCATGAGGACAGCCAGGCAGCAGAGCATGTTGCCTGGAGAGGTTGTGCTACCTTCTTCCTTGGAGTTTTCCCAAGACCTAACTGGTTAAAGCCCTGAGCAACCTGGTCTGGCCTCATGGCTAACCCTGCTCTGAGCAGGAGGTTGGACTGGAGGTCTCCTGAGAACCCTTCCCACCTGAGTTATTCTCTGATTCTTTAATCACAGTTACTCTCTTTTCCTCACTACTTCTCTTAGAATATCACAGTATTAAAAAAATCAATACAAAACAATCCAAAAGGATGAGCTGAAATAATGTTAACTCAGTACTGGATAGCATCAAAACTCTTTTCTCCCTCTAAGTCAGCCAACCCCCTCCCTGTGGGTGACCACTGACCCAGTGACATCAGCCATGGTATTTCTAATGCTGTGGATACGTGCTTACCCCTCATACTCAAAAACATTTGTGCTGCTTTATAAACATGCCACAGAGCCTGGAAAGGAGAGGATTAGAAACATGCAGGTTCTAGCATCTGGAATTTATCACCTCATTAAAAGTTCCGATGTGATGGTAGCTAACAACAGGAGGAAAAATAAACAGAAAAGACCTATGGGATTGGTCAGTCATACTGGGGAACACAGTTCACCCTGCAATGACAGGGACATTCACAATCATTGCAATCAAACTGCTCCTCATCAGCAAAATGTAAGGTAGCCTTCCCTCTACTATTCATTCCTAATTCAGAAGTGGAAAAACAACTGGAGTATCTTAAGTGCTGCTGGTGTCTGCACACAGAGGAGGTGGTTTTGCAATCTAAACGCATTCACTATGCCATCATTCACATTATTGCTGAGTAAGAGAAGTATCTTGACAGTCTCTTCCGCCAACCATCAGCACTTCAGGTACATCCAGAATAAGAGTGAGCTGGCTTATTTAAGTGAGAGTAGGATGAGGATCCTTGTAGAGGATCAGAGTTCAGTCTGTTGAGACAGCTTTAGTTCTGACTTGCTTTCTATGCATCCGCACAAGGAGATGTATCTTCCTCTAAGCAAAGTCAGGGATAACTTGCCTACCTGCTTTTCCAAAGGATAAGAATTAGATTCCAATGACTAATTTAATGCTCCGCTTTATATTTGCTTACTTATTTTTGCAGGCCACATAAATAAACTTTTTGCTGAAGCAGGAGAAAAGCATCTAACTGACAATATCTTGTGACTCGGGCAAGTAGGATATGGAGAAACGGTTGGTTTGGGTAGTGAAGTAAGTTTAAAACAGTCTTGGAAATTCTCTGTATCAACAGTAGAAGACCAGTGTAAGTCTCTCCTGGCAAGCTTTCCATGATTGCTTCTGGTCTGAAATAAGCTACATCTTACACAGCAGAGATAGAAAGGCTTGGAAAACTATCAATTCCTCAGTCTAGCCTTAAGAAATGGAATTACAATTGGAAGAGACATGCTTGAATTAAGCTAAAACTTACTGCTGTTCTATGAAGGCTAGAACAATAATGTTGACTGGAAAAATATTTTTTAAAAGGTACTAATACCATTAACTATTTGGACAGAGAGATGCATCATTAGTTCTGTAACAGTGACCTCCAACATTTGCCCTAGCTGTTAATACAGAAAGCATAACCAACAGGTTTTAAGAAAGCTTTGAGCAACATCTCTAACAGCTTTTCCTTTTTTAAATAGTTACACTGGAAGACAGATTGAATCAAAAACTAAAAAAACTTATGCTCCAGAAGAACAGTCATATCACTGCAAGTTTTACCCCCTAATCCAGCTGAATTTCCAGCACACTGATTTCTTATCCAAAGTTCCTGTTGCTTAGCAGACACAGTCTCGTCTCTGTCTTTGGATGGCTGAAGTAGAGCCTTTACAGGAAAGATTATCTCAGCTCTTTTGCCTTTAAACTTCCGATAAAAGCAAACAACCATTTTATGTGACAGTCCACTTTGGATTTCTATTACTCTGGGCAATTTAAAGAGAAGCAGGCACCTTCTAGGAGGACGTGCCTACCCAGAAGAGATAAGGCATACAGACATGCCAGTCCAGGGATGCCATGGTCCGAGCATGCCACGCTAGATCTGTGAATAGACACGGGACTTGGTATTTCTGAGCTGACAAGCCAACCTTGTCATTATAATACAAAGTGTCTCCAAGAGAGACATGACATACTGCCAACATGGGACTGAAATCACAGGGAAGTCATTAAAAAGGGTTGCATTGCTGGGTTTCGTAAATCTCCAAAGATAGTCTCAAGACCAAAGGACAGACTACGTATGCTAACTGGGTAGAAAAAACTGCTGTCAGAAAACCAATGACAGAAAGGAATGGAATCTATTGCAAACTCATTTGACTAAATATATCTGCTTCTTACGGACTGTTGCTCCAGAAATTGTAAGATAAAATTAAACCTGTTTCACTACAGCACATCCCAGATCTAGATTTGCACAGAGGAGACACTCTCAGGATAAAGTTACATATTAAGCCTTTAGATGATTTAACATCTAACCATATGCTAATAGAGAAGATCCTGTTCATGCCTCCTCCCCCACAATATGCAGAATACTCCCTTCCTCCTATTTCGCCAGTGTTCGCCAAAAACTGTACCAAGCTGATTCAATACTGACTCGAATATGGTAACACAAACAAGTTTCTGTGGGATTACTAAGTTGAATTAACTCAGTGAAGGGTCAAACAAGTGCCAAAGCAATAGGACTTCACCCTAAGATATCAAGATTGATGTTGTGCCTCTCTCCACCATACAGTTGTGAAGACAGTGCAGGTAGGAAGCATCTGGGGATTCTAGACAACAGAAATTGAAACTGCAGAAGTAATGAAGTAGGAAACCCCAGGCACCGCAGACATCAATGACCTTCCTATTGTTTTGATGCATGCCCCCTTTAAACCTACAGGGCTCCTACGCACTCAAATACGCTCTCCCCTCCTTTCCATTTCTGCACTTGTCACACGTTATCTATCCTCTGAGCTTTACGATCCCCAAATCCTTATTGTTTTAGTGTTTCATCTTTCCCACTTAAACTCATAATTTCAATAACAACAATAGCATTAACGTGACACTCATCACATTGCAACAATCACTGAGCACACACTTCCCACCCCTTTCCCCTTCCTTTCTGCATTTCCTTACACTATCCAGGAGACTGGCAATCGCAACACATTTACGCAATGACTCAGATAACAGGGTGCTGCAGTAACTACCACAAACATGCACAACTACTAGTAACAGTCTTCTGATTTACCTGACATACTCAACATACAACAGTTTTCCCTCCCTATTAAAAGGCCTCCCAAACCAGCCAACAACTTATCAACACCATAGCCCCTCTCACAACTTTCTTCCTTCCCATATTCAAAGCTGTGTGCAATTCCAATTAGCCTCTTTGACGGACTGGAAAGTAAACACGCTGCTTTTCTACAAGACACTCCCTTTCAGCACACAAAGAAAACAGTGAACTAGTTACCAAAAGGAAACCCATTAGAAAGCAACCTTGCGTGCACCAGATCTACTGCAGATAGCAAGCCTCCCCTTTGCACCCCTCGCTTTTGCAGGACTCGTATTTACCTGTGGTATGAAGAGTCTGAGCTAACACCCAATATCCAAGTAGCTACCCCTTTGTATTACCAAGGGACACAAACATTGGCTGCGAAGGCATGTGGGCAGAAACGTAAGCAGAACACCAAGGCAATGACGAATAATGCACTTCTGAATGTCAAGGTGCAGTGGGATTTTTGTAATTTCATAACATTCCAGCTCCTTTCCCACATTACAGAAAAACAAAATAAAATGTAGGTGGAACCAAAGTCCTGTTGTTATTAGCATGCAAAGAAAATTAACTTATTTAAATTCACCCATCTGTTCCGGCCACCCAGAGTAATTATGAGTAATTCTCAACAATTCAGTCACCTGAAAAAAAATCAGTGAGTTCTAGGCACAAACCCTTCCTAAGCAGTTAATATTCAGGATCACAGATGATTAAACCACACTGTTTCATTCTTTCAGTGAGCTTTCTCAGCTGGCTTCTTGCCCACTTTTTGTCTCTAGCATTTCTCTCCCGTTTCTGGCAGATGAAGTGGAGGTGGAGAAGAAAAGGGAGGAAAGTTCTTGGGTAGCATAAGGATTACAGTAATTTCCAATCCTTCAGCAAGGAAGAGCTTGCTCAGGGAACAGATGACCTAATGCTGCTACCTACTCCTCCATCTCACTTTATTTTTATTTTTTTTAACCTTACGTTTCCAGGTGTTTGCAGTTATAAAGTTATACAACCCAGGGACACAGTTTAGTAGATTTATGTCCTTTCTGCCTCCAAATCCACAGTGAGGATACCTCCCACCCACACATTTCCTCCGTCTTTTTGTTGTTGCTGTGGGCAATTTAAAACAGAAAACTGCAATTCAGAGAGATCCTCAATCATGCACCTACAGGTCATTGACATTTGGTTCACACCCAAGCCTGATGTGAATGTAGATGCCATTCATCAAAAGGATGGTTATGCCATGGATAACAAATCATCCCAACTCTCTAAATTAAACAACAGTATTAGCACAGGGACAAACTTACTTTCAAAGCATTCTTGGTATTCTGCCTGATTACCTGCCCTTGTTGAAAACAAAGGGAGAACTGTTCTCACATGGCTCTACTTATGTTTCCTTTCAGCGTTCTGAAATAAGAGCTGTTTAAGATCTCACATTTTGTTTTCAATTGGAAAGGTCATCTGGATTGGGTGGCAAAAGGAGACTGTATACTTTTTTTAATAAGGAGAAAAGGAAAGAGATGGGACACAGGGAAGGAGGGAAAGGAAGTTTATTGCATCTTCATTTTTAAATTAGAAAAAGTCTCAGAGAAGTTACAGAAAAAGTATAATTAGTGAAAGAACAACACTCTAAGAGCTTACAGAATCTAATTTTCTCTTGAGCACTAGAAAACGCAAAAAGGGAAGTGATGACTACTTACATATAATATGTAGGATATAATCCTTCAAAGTACCAGCAATGCTTTTTGGCCTCTGTACACTACAAAGAAAGAAAAATATGGTATTAATGTTTATGTAAGACAATGTACAATTATAAACACAAGCACAGAGTATTTATAAATAGAGCAATTAGGAAAGGTCAATATTCCCGAAGATCTCCCAATCCCGATACACCCAGCAACTGGGAAGTCAGTTGAAGGTAAATGGCACCGTGCCTTGCCAGGGCTCAGATCCCTCATGCAGGGCATTGTCTGTGGGGCCCCATAGCTTCCCACGATTCACAAAGCCAGTACATTTGGTGCAGGCACAGGACCGAGCTGCATGTGTTCCCTGGCAGAACTGCTGTCTTCAGAGACCACAGAGAAGAGCCCATTTGTGGCCATAGCCACTTAAGAGACCTCCAAGGCATAACCAGCTTGATGACATTACGCATATGACTACACAGTAAATTCAATAATTGCAGGGAATTATTCATCTCTCCGGAAGTCTCTGGCATGCAGAGCCAGGCATGGAAAGGAGCAGAACGGAGAACCCATCCATCCCATCTCCTCTTCCTACAGCTTGGAAATATCTCAAGTGTTCATTAAAGTACCGGGGAAAGGAAAGGGCTTTCTGCAGCCCAGGGGTATTGTTCTCTTTTGCAGATTGCCAGTGTATCCTTGTTAAAGGCTGGCGACAGGCATTTTCTCAGCGTGTGTGTGCAGGCAACGTGGGAAGCGCACATCGTTACAGGAACCGCCAGAGTACAGACAGCGGCTCAGAACAATAGCGGCGCTTAAAAAAGAAAACCAGACGTCAAGCCCAACACAGAAAATATTTCTGCGTATCCTGCTGACATCACTAGCATAAAATGTCATCTTCTTTGCAGACATAGCTCCAGGAGTTCTGCCACATGCTGCATTATCTGTTCACACACGGCCAGGGCGTTGTGGGACACCCTTCGCAGACCTGCAAGGAATATCTTGCATGGGTTTTAGCAGTAATTCCCTCTGCTGCTCACACCTGACACCTGATGTCGGAGAGCGCTCGGCACACCAGCAGTGCTTGGATCATCCTTCATGTTCTCTTGGCAGTTCACCTTTAAATAATAGCTCATATAAGTTTATTAGCCTTCCCGAATCCCAGAATACTAAATGAATCCAGTTAAGACAAAGACAAAGTGTTTTTAGATCCCCAACTCTCACTCCTCATGAATAAAAAAGGCTGCAAGCTCTTTAATGAGCATCTGATGAGCTAAATCACAGACAGATCAATTACAGCCCATGAAGACAAACTGCTATGGATTAAATTAAGAGCGGTGCAGGAGATGGGGGGAGGAGGAGGAGGAGAAGATGCTTTTGATTTGTGTGATCAGGCCTTTCCACTAATATAACAGGATCACACCAGTCTTCAAGATGCACAAGCTTTAGCTTCTGTTGGAAGGACTGGAGCTTCTTCCTCAGGATAAACACGTCGGAAGCCACATTCCCCTCCTAAATTGATGCTGCAGTCCAAGCAGTACATGCAGGAAGGCACCGTAGCTGCTGCTGAAGTAAGTGATGTTTAAAGATCCATCTCCACATTTGCCTTATTTCCCCTTTGTCCCCCTTCCTTCAAAGCTTCCAACTTCTTAACCCTTCCTTCCGAATATTTTCATCTGCTGTCTGTTTCTTCTTACTCTAAAATTAGAAATATGCCAAGTTTCTCTCCATAACACCCTGCAAATATAAATGCACTGTAAACTCAGCGGGTCTGCTGCCAAGTCAGTGAAAAAAACTTTGGCTCTTCACCTTTGAAGGCTGCAGATCAGCGGGTCCTGGCTAAAATCCCAGTGCCTGCAGATCAACCGCTTGGGAAGCCTCATTTCAGAGTCCAGCTTGGGATGTACACCATTAAATGTTTTTCCTTCCCGCTTCTCAACCAATATGAGTCACCACTTACCTCAACAGCCTTAAAGCCTTCATCAGTCTCGAGCATTTTAATTTATGTTTTCCCAGCAATGCTTCTGAGCACGTGGAGCCTGGGTACCTTTTACAAGTGTAGAGGAGACATTTATATTCAGCACTTACTCTGCTCACCCTCCTCCCCATATTTTAATTGGCTTTACAAGATTCCTCCTTCCCACATCTCTCAAGTTGTAAAATTTCTGTTTCTGCCTCTTAACAGTTCTCTGTTTCAGACAGCAAATATCCTTACTGTTGTCACAAGAAAGGCTCCAGCCTAGGAAGGTTCTGCAAGTAGCAGTTCCTTCTAGCTTGCAGGGCTTAAGACACTTGTACTAAAAATCCTTCAGTGCCCAGACTTTGCTTTTATATGTGCCCTGGAACAGCAGGTACCAATCCCAAGTCTGCTACAATTACCACATAGCAGTTGTTCAGCTCTCCTACATGGGAATCAGGCAAAGAAGCAAGTGGACCTCAAATGTGAGCAGCACAGCCGAATCTGCTACACAGGACATGTCAAACAGATTTACACACACAGGGCAAACTGCCGTGATCCCTGCTCAATTAAAACTCTATCAATCTCCATGGCAACTTTACGTCAGTAAACCCTGACGTAAAGCAGGCAGCTACTAACCACCATCTCTACTGCTGGTTAGCAGACCTTGCAGGACTTCACTACTAAGAATAAGATGAGAATGTCATTGGCTCCAAGGATTAGAGCTCCTTTAGCACTCAGGTACGAGAGAGATGCATAGGGTAGTCAGAGCACGGATTAGTTTTTCCCATCCCACACATCCTCTGAAGTAGGTTACTATCATCCATCTCTTGCCAAGATCCAAATTATTCTTCTGAGCAGTACCGGCCTCTTAGTTAAGCTGGTGGAGAGCCATACAAGCATGAGAGGGGACGTACGCCACCAGCATCAGGCTCTCAACCTCATAGAGCCTTTGGAGGACACTGTCCTTGTAGTTGTTTAAGAGTATTAAACTCTCAAGAAACCGCAGCTGGCAGCAACTCACTGCAGCCCACAAAACAGACACAAAGGGAAGATTACTCATATTACTGCAATACAAAGGAACCTCAGACATCACAGTTGGTGCCCACTCCGCTAGCTCCTATACGAAGACAGGCTATATCTCAGAGTTTCAAATAAGTGTCCATTCACGTCTTTAAAAAGCTGCTTACCCATTCACTAATGCAAAAAAAAGTGTGTTTATGGTTTTTAAACTAAGCTTAAGTACAGTCCTGCTGACGCTTTCAACTTTTCTAGGAGAAGGACTCTGCATATTTTGCTTACAAAATTCCACCTATATCCTCTAACAGTTTGGCACACCTATAAACTATAAATTCAAGAGAATGTTCATTTTTCAAATAAATGATGCAGGTCTAATTGGGTGTACATATGTAATCTTTAGAGAATTAATGGTATGTGAATTAGCCAGATGCTTGAATACATTCCTTAAGACTGCATATTAAGAAAGAAAAAACACAAGACTTGGGTTTTTTGTTTGTTTATTTGTTTTAAAATAAATCAGCATCTGACTTGTTGCCTGTTTTCTTTAACAGACTGCAGCAACATGAACTGCAAGCTGTCCTTTTCTGCAGCCTCTAAATTCATTCAGATTTCCTTTAAAGAAATGAAACGTGCTTCCTGCCACAGACTGAAATTGCGAATGTTACTGCTAGTAGTAAGGACAATGAGAAAGAGAAGTTACTAAAACGTTAACCAAAGACTGGTTTTGATGACACTGTAAAATACAAAACATGAGTACATATGTATGCACATGGTGTGGGGGAAGACAGTGCAGGCAGCCTGCTCACTGAATGTCAGATGGTATCATTAGTTATGCTTTGCAGGATTTGCAGAAATACTATCTCTAGCAGGAATATCCTCCACATTACACATCGTTATCTTTTCGTCCATAGGACAATAAAAAGAAAACAGATCTGATCAATTAATTACTCTTTGCAGTCGAGGGAGCGGTGAATTCACGCCCAGTGCTTTTATTGGAGGCTTGCAAATTAATAATAAAAAGTAAAAACAATTACTTTGTTTTACCATCAGCAGACAGTAAATACTTTCCAGTATGAATAGTCTGTTTTTGTTACAGGTACCAAAGAAAAAAGCAGGCTGCTGTGGAAGGACGTGTTTGTGGAGGGCAGGGGGAAGGCGATTGCTATCTGTACGCTGAAGGGACATTCAGAGCGAGTTTGTGACATCTGCTCAAAGCCAGATTCTGCAGGAGGCACAGGTCTGCGATCAATCACAAAGTCAATGAAACCCTATCAGTTATCAGCAACTGAGGGTGAGGCTTTTTCTTCTTAACCAGGTAAAAAGCTAGATGCTACACACAATTTCCATTACATATTACAGTTATAAGGATCCAAATAGGTAGATTCAGGAGGAAAAAAAGCAGGTATTTAATGGAGTGACCTGCCATACTTATATGACAGAAATGGCTCCTAGTATCCTGGGATGACCTGCTTAGTGGCTGCTACCTCCCATTCAGCTGGGTATATGCCATGTATTAGTAGGGTGCAAGTTGTCCAAATGTCATTCTTGTGGCTACAGCCTCTGAGGCTCTGCTGGGATTAATTCATAGATGAACAGGAAGGAAGAGTTAAAACTATCTAAGATATGGAACAAGACCTCATCATTTCTGAACATCACACAATCCTATTCCAACATACACCCAGAACTCTGTCTTCTCCACAGCTAGATCAAACTAGTAATCGAAGGAATGGAAAGGACAACACCTTTCTGACCATACAGCTCCACAGCATCTGAGAAACAACTGGCTATGCCTGCTGCCTCTGTTACAGAAGGCTGCTTGCAAACCTCACCCACAGATCTTTCCCAGTTTTAGTCGTCACCGCACCTGTCAAGTACTTGATGAAGCCCAGACAAAAGGATGGGACAGTCTACAGTGCAACTCCAGACTAAATAACCCATTCCAGAAGGCACATTATTGGCTAGGAATCACAATGTTTTATGGGATCTGACCTTTAAAATTGTATCAGTTTTCAGAACACTATCCATTTCAGTGCTTAGACAAGAGCTGAAAGCATTATGAGATACAAACTGCTCCTTAGATATGGTGCGGTGAAATCAGAAA